CATATCTATCATCATATCTCCGACAAGTCTTTCTGTCTGATTTTAGCCTACTACTGTGGAGCATGTGACATTAAAGATTTGAAGAAAATGGGCATTGCTTTGGTGTTCTGAATATTTGGGCCATCAGTACGAACGAATGTGTTTGCATTGCATTGCATTGTAAAATTACAAATAAATTGTTAGTTACTTTTTATCATAATAATTTCCATAATTTAATTTTTTTTTAATGAAAATAGTGCAAATATGCATAGAAAAATGTTAAATGTAAGGAAAGCGTAGCATTTAATAAAAATCTTAAAAAAAGAAAAGTTATATTTATTTTAAAAATAAATATTATTTTAAAAATAAATATTTACAAAAATGTTTTAAATAAATGATTTTGATCAAAATTTTGGATCTGTAAGATTTTTGACATTTTTGAAAGTCTCTAATGCTTTTATTTGATGAGAAATAAGATTTTGAAATATTATTACAATTTAAAATAAGTGTATATATTTGAATATATTTTAAAATCAATTAATTACTGTAATGGCAAAGCTGATCATTACTCCAGTCTTCATTGTCACATGATCCTTTAGAAATCATTCTCGTGCTGATTTGCTGCTCAAGAAACATGGATTCTTATTATTTCCCGGGGGGAAAACATTATTTTTCAAGTTTTTCTTTTTTGTAAGTGTTTGTGACAGTTTCATGTGCAATGTATTTATCATTGAAATAATAACTGCTGGTCAAATAACAGTCTTTTTGCGCTGGACCAGGACATTCACACCGCAGGCCTTCACAGTTGTGATTTTATGGTTCTTAATTGTCAATGCGGTGCTGTCTGAATTTAACAGATTACAGTCTGGTGTGACCCACTAGGGCCACCAGCACTGACTGTGTTCCTTCGAGGCGGTGAGAAGTAAACAGTGACAACATTAGTTTCTCATTACCCACATACATGCTGTTCTGAGGAGACTTTCACTGGATCAATGAGCCATTACAAATCCAAATAGGCTTTTTATCGCAAAGCGCTAATCCTAGTTTCCATTTCATAAAGAATGTTTAGACAGTCCTGTGAAACATTCATGCAGATATCACCTGTATATGAAGCAAAAAGGTTAAAAACAATTGTACTAAATTAAATGGCTTCATAGCTCTTTCAGTTTTTCAATTCAATCAATCCTTTCTTACCCAAGGCATCAAGAGCAAACAGTCATTTCTCACCCCACGTGAACCATCAAAAAGTGAATCACAGCTTCACCAGCAATTACAGGAATAGTTCATTTTATATACTTAGCCCTCATCATTCCAAACATGTACTTCCTTTCTTCTGTCGAACATAAAAGCATCCAAAATCTGCCTTCTTAAATCTTATTTGCACTTTCAAATTCAAACTTTGCACCATTGGCGATTCTAGACCTACTTAGGCTTCGGTCCTTAAAAAATCTGATTATGTAGTCTATTTTAGGTTTGCTGAAAACAGCGGCAGCAGTAACATACTTGAGGTCATTCCCCTCTGAACATGCAACCAAATACGCCACCATTAATAAACATCTACTGACAAATGACATTTTTAATTGGCTCATTAAAAAAGTGTCAGTCGAGCAAAAGACCTATACTTGCAATTGCAACTCACACTTTCAGCAAGAAATAATGCTCTGAACCATAGCATTTCGGAATGAGCCATAGGCTTAACATTTAAAGCATTAAATTCCTAGAAGACATGCGAGAACCAGTAGCATTTTGGCATTAATGATGTACCATACTGATGATGTTACATACATTCAAATTATATATATATATATATATATATATATATATATATATATATATATTAGGGCTGTCAAACGATTAATCGCGATTAATCACATCCAAAATAAAAGTTTGTGTTACAACATAATATATGTGGGTGCACTGTGTATAATTATATATATATATATATATATATATATATATAATTTATATATATATATATATATATATATATATACATATACACACATTTATATAATATAAATACACACACATGCTTGTATATATTTAAGAAATATTTTCATGTATACACTGTATATATAGATTTATATATAATTTATATTATATATAAATATTTTATATACAAATAATATTTTATAATATTTTTTTTCTTAAATATACAAGCATGTGTGTGTATTTATATATATATATATATATATACAAAATAATTATACACAGTGCACCCACATATATTACGAAAACACAAACTTTTATTTTGGGTGCAATGAATCGCGATAAATCATTTGACAGCTCTAATATATATATATATATATATATATATATATATTACACATTATCTAATTTATTAATATAAACAGTGTTATTCTTATTATATCATATCATTTTTTAAATATATAGCATCAAATGAATAATATTATAATAATTGTATTAATCAATAATAATAATAATAATAATAATAATAATGTTTTTGTATTATTATTATAATTGTTAATATACTTTCATATAAAATATATACATATAATAATACTATTATTGTTATTAATCATAATTATAATTGTATTTCTTTTTATATTATATATTTGTATATGACACAATATGAGATTTGAGAACTATAAAAAGGAAAGACTTTTAGCAAATAATGAATTAATTTTTGGCCTGTTTTAGCACACAAAAACTTGATGTGCTTTTGAACATTTTGCAGCTCAATGACCCTTAAACACTGCATTTCGTAATTGTATGAAAAAACAAAAAAAAACAATCATATAGGTCTGGAATGGCATAAGGGTGCGTAAATGATGAAAGAATTGTTTTATATAAACAGCTACAGGAAGTAAAATGAACACTGTGTGTCATTTTGCTGTGACATCCACACACAGGCCTCCTATGACAGTAATTTCACCACAACTGTGAATTAGTTTCAAAACTCACCTGAAGTCCCTGAGGCAAGGCACAAAAATAGTCAAACCCTGTCTTTCTCCCTTTGGTGAAAAAATGAAATGTTTACAGAGCGCTCGACATATTCTCCAGTGGTGCGTCTCTCTTTTCCAACAGCAAAACCCAATAGACAGAGAGCATAGACCATCAGGCACACACACACATTCAGCAAGGGCGGTCAGTCACTCCTGAAAATACATCAAACTAAAAGACACCCTGGAGCATTTAAACTTCCAAATATGCTGAGAGAGCCTTTCAAGAATACAGATGAACAGGAAAAGAGTGAAAAACACAGACCCAATATTTTTTTTATGAGAGTTAAATAAATATTAGCATACAGGGTGATATGTTCTTAATGCTTACTATACTCATGCAAATCTTTGAAGCCAAAGCCTCAGATAAAAGCAATGTGCATACACACTTCACACAACTTGAGCTCTCTTATTTCATATATTACTCATTAAATGCCAGTTTTCAGAGCACAACACAACCAAACCCAACTCTCGGAGGCCATTAAACAACATGAAACTACTACATCTTTGCTGTAAAACATCTATGAAAAATATTAAGGACGTTTAGCATTGGGGGAAAATAAACTGACTAAGCCCATCTGCAGTTGTTTTCCCTTCACAGAAGAAAAAAAGACATCCAGTGCTTGAGTTCATTTTTCTCATCATGCTCATCTGTTTAATTTAAGGATAACAAAGTGGTATGCGTTATTTATTTATATATAAAATCTCGTCCACTGTGGATTCGTCGAATGGGTAGTGGGTCAGATTTATGAAGAGCTTTTCTGCAAGCATTTGAGGAATGCACCAAAAAGACTACTCAGTAGCGATCAAACCGATGGCCGTGTAAACTAAGGGTTCATTACGCTGTATTTTTGATTAACAATGCTTGAAATCTTTGATGAGGAATTGCACATTCACAGAATGACATCGGAAGTATGTTTGTCTAGTTTTAATGAAGAGAATCATACATACATACATACATTAAAAAACAAATAAAAATATGTAATAAATTATAAACTGTAATAAATGTAATAAACTGTCTTTATAAAGTATCTTCTTATTAAACGGTCTGTACACTTACAAAGTTTGCAATGCTAAGTATGGACCCTCATTATGTTACTGGGTTAGTGTGGGGCTATTTTGAGCCTTGTTAGTGGTATAAACTAGCGATTTCTTTTTACTTAATAAATGCCCCCATTACTAGAGTTATACGTTAAACATTTTAGAGATAAAACTCTTTACATTCGATTATCATGAAAACAAATCTCAGAGAACGGTCGAATAGGTATCGATGTTTTATTAGACCAAAGGTTCATTTTGCGCCAGAGTTCTCCTTTAAGTCCTTCACAGACACGGATTAGGCCTATATAGTTCAATTAAGATATTTAAGTAGGCTAGCTTTAATAATCGTGCCTTAGAAAAAAAAATAGTACTGGTGTGCTTGAGACAAAATCGAATCATCATAATCATGATGATTGAGATCATAATCGAATGTAAAGAGTTTTATCTCTAAAACTGTTTAGCGGATAATGCTAGTAATGGGGGCATTTACTAAGTAAAAAGAAATCGCTAGTTAATATGACTAACAAGGCTCAAAATAGCCCCACACTAACACAATAACATAATGAGGGTCCATACATGCAAACCGAAGCATTGAGAACTCTGTAAGTGTACAGACCGTTTATTAAGAAGATACTTTATAAAGACAGTTCACTTCGTGTATACAGACAGGAGCCATCTTTGGAAAATAGTCACGACAAGTCAAACCGCGAACGTCGTGCTGAGTGAGCTGAACTGTATGAACGGCGTTCGGGGATCGACTTATCAAGACTATTTTCTAAGATGGCTTCTGTCTCCTGCCTTTCAGTGCCTAAAGTACCATGATAATACTTTTTTTTTTTTACATGCTGCCTAACAAACTTACCAAACATATTAGAAAATGCCAGCTGCAAGAATATTACAACATTTGACAATTTGATATATGTTTGTACACTTTCACATATTGTATTTTTAACTTCCAGCCTTGCTGGCTCCTCGTACATCAGGAGGCATTGGGAAACCTCAAGCACACTCACTCACCTGCTGCCAGCTGCATCCATCCGCAGATCTTATACACGGTGGCTGTGCTGCAGAAGAAGAAGAGAGCGAAGCAGCCAATGCAGGAGAGGACCAGCACCATGGACATCCCAATGAAGAAAGACGCAGCTTTGAAGGCGCTAGACGGGATGGAGCCAAACTCTGTGAAGCTCCCCTGGCAAGTCAGGTCCCGGGACATTCCGCTTCCTATGCAGTAGTGAAAGAGGCCGAAGTAGCCGGCCTGTGGCGTGTCCATGCCGTCCCCGATCCAGTAGGGCTGAACGAAACATACCACGTTGACGATGGCGAAGAGGATGGTGAAGATGGCCCACAGGACTCCGATGGCACGAGAGTTCCTGACGTAGTTGGTCTGGTAGATCTTGGCTGCCTCCGTGGCTGGGAGCATCGCTGCAGGTGTCCCAGGGATCATAGATGCACTGTCAAAAAAAATGAACAGAAAATCAACAAATAGTCAGCAAGCTTCTGTATTTTATTCCGCTAATAATAACTTTTCTTGTTTTTGCGTTGTATTTTAAATAGGGCTGTGCAACGATTAATCGTGATTAATCGCATCCAAAATAAAAGTTTACGTAATATATGTATGTGTAGTGTGTATAATTATTTTGTATATATACACACATATGCATGTATATATTTAAGAAAAATGTTTTATTAATGTATCAAATATTTATACTTAATTTATGTATAATATTCATTTTGTGTAAATATATAAAAAGTATATACATGCAAATATTTCTTAAATATATACATGCGTTTGTATTTATATATATATACAAAATAATTATACACACTGCAGTGCACACACATTTATTATGTAAACACAAATGTTTATTTTGGATGCGATTAATCGCCATTAATCTTTTCACAGCCCTAATTTTAAAATACTGTAAAGTTACTATGCAGTATAATTGATTACGGTAGTTTTTATATATTCACATATATACTGTACATAAAATATTATAACTAACTGCAATCTGTTACAAGAAAGGCTGCAAAAAAATATTTCACACAGAGATGTTACTTATTATTAGATGTCACGTCAATTACGACAAAACTCAGAAGTCTGTTTAAAAACTTTTATTAAAATTGAATTCATTAAACTGTAAAAACACTCCAGACTTGGCAGGGCCAATGCAGATCCCAGATTGTTGCTGCCTATAGAGAACAAAACACAAAAATTGAGTTGCACTACAGCCTGGCAGACATCAGTGTGACAAACAGCTTTCATTTAATTTACAATTTCATTTTAATTTACAACTTAATACCTTTAAATGAGAATGAAACTATGTAAGGGTGAGTACAATTTTGGGTGTACTATCCCTTTAAACTAATTTCTAAGATCCTGATCTTCTCAATCTATGTTACAAAACAAGCTCATTTTATGAATTTTAATGCTTTCTTTGATAACTGAATATTGTATTGAAGAATATTGTATATGAACAATTGTACTTGCCTCTATTAACCGAAAGAGTGATATTGTTATTGAGTAGCCTAGTTAAGATGACTAGATTTCAATTTGTTTGTTTAATTCAGAATGGGTTACTAGCTCCAATCGAGATTTAATTTTTCTAAGAATTACGTTAAATGGCTAATTAGAACAGTCCGATAGTGACCTAGCATCTTGTAAGATATAAAAAAAAGACTAACGTTATTTACAGACCAAGCTTATAATAATAGTAAGATAGCACACGTACGTCTGCAAGATCTGTTAAAGATCGAAAGTGATCTGGAAAGCATCTGTTTACTAACATCTGATAGACATCTTCAAGATGTCAGTTTAACATACATTCTAAATCATTACATCTTAAAGACATTTTCTACATGTCTATTTGACATCTGACAGGAAAAATCCTATACGTCTGTATTGGAGATGAGAAAAAAACTAAAAAATACGTCTTCCAGATGCAAACACGCACGTCAATAGACGTATCCGTGATTTATATGCATGTGATGTACGATACACACTCATTCAGTAGATCAGTAGATTATGTTTACCAAAAATCATAAAACAAAGAAATATTATCTTACCTTCATCGTGAGATGAAATGAGGATCCACTCTCCCAGACTTTCATTAAAGTGCGTATCTGTTGTACAAACTTTATTTCTCGTTTTATTTCTTCAATAAAAACTATTTTTGGCGTATAAATGGCAGATACGAACTTTCGTGAGATCGTGTTTGGCAGTCACACGGCGATATCGCTGTCTGTAAATTCCTTCAGAAAACAGTGTGTGGCGCACTTGAGCGTATTTTCACATGCAAATCTAATTTGGAGTAGCTTATGGGAGCGGCAGCGTCATATATTATGTTTCTAGTATTTTAGTATTAATGAAAAACTGGGGGACAAACATTTTTGGGGCCTTATGGGGGGGTCCCTTGATGTTTATTGGAGGTCCGGGTTGAAGATTTTGGTTGAAAATGTCTAAAAAAACTTCTAAATCCAATGTTTGTTAGATGTCAAGCTCCAACATTGGGCAGTCGTTGAATTTTGGTTGGAATAAACAAAACAAAAAGGTTAAATGCATGGCCGTACACTTATTACTAGCTTTACCTAAAACTAACCAGATTTACTTCATTTAATTCACATTTTAATGAAATCATACGTTGTATTTTAAAGTTACCAAGATGGAGGTTAGTGTTTGCTTTAGTTGTTCTCTTGACCCTTGACTTTTTAGTATATAACTTTCTCTGGTGGCTATAATTGTGTGTTTATAAAGCACAGTTGTTGTAGCTAGAAAGGCCATGAGAAAATTAGATGTTGGCTGATTATTGATGATGATGAGGAGGATGATGATGATGATGATGATAATATCATCATGTAATTGCCTGAATCCCTGATCTTACTCAGTGTCTAATACTTTGATTATATCAAAATATAATCAACTTGTGGTTTTAATATTGTTTTATTCATAATATAAGTCATTTGATTCTACAGCATATCTAGCAATGTTGTTTATTACATAATTTAAAGGGGTGGTAAAATGCCATTTTCACAAGATGTAAAATAAGTCTCTGATGTCCCCAGAGTGTGTGTGTGAAGTTTTAGCACAGAATACCCCCCAGATATTTTTATATAGCATGTTAAAGTTGTCATTTTTTGAGGGTTTGCAAAAACGCACCGTTTTGTGCCTGGCCCTTTAGATGTAAATGAGCTGCTGCAGTGGGCGGGGTTTCAAGAGCTCACTTGTGTTAGCAGCTGCGATTTCCTCACGCAGACACACTAAAATTACAGAAACTGTTCTGTCTTTAATGTTAAAACAGAGTCAGTGAGTCAATCTATGGTATTACTTAGACGCACACAGACGTCAAGATACAACATATGAATCTCAAAAATGGTGACAATCAAACTAAATATCCAGGTAATCAGATCAACTCTGAGCATAAACAAGGTACAAAAAATCCAGCTGCATAATGTATTAATGCCGCAATACCAAGATATGGCTGAGTTTTGATTGATGGTACCGAGCATGCACTGCAGCATGAAGCATTTCATTGATTGTCACCATTGTTGAGAATCATACACTGATCCTTGATGGCTAAGTAATAATGTAGAGGAAAAAAGTTTCATCCACTAAATTTTTTTTTTTTTAAATGTTTTATATTATTTGATAAACAACATGGCTCTCATGCTGTAAAATTAAATGGCATCTGTTATAACACAAAATTAAAAAGTCCTATATAATCAAAACATTAGACACTGAATAAGATCTTCAATAAACAGCCAACATCACCTGATCTCATTTTCTCATGGCTTTTTTGCCACAACAAGTGTGCTTTATAAACACACAATTATAGTAGCCAAAGGAATTTTAAAACTAAAAGTCAAGGGTCAAGAATCCAAATAAAGCAAACGCAAACCACCATCATGCTGACTTTAAAATACAACTTGATTTCATTAAAACGGAAATTCAGTCTGGTTAGTAATAAGTGAAGCAGGTAATGTTGTTTGTGGAGTTGTTTAATCCTCCTCTGCTGAGATCTTCCACAGATTTAATGTGCTACCATGCATATCACATCTTTTGTGGTGTTTATTCCAACCAAAATTCAGCATCTGTCTGATGTTGGAGCATGACGCCAAACAAACGTTGGGTTTAGACGTCAGCCTGACTTTCATTTTCAACCAAAATGTGACGTCTGACTGACATTGGATAAGTTAGTGCGGCTGCTGGGTAGGCTATGCACATTTGGTGGAAATATTTAGATATTAGTTATCTTTAAGATATTGAATAAAATGCTACATCTCACCTTGCTGGTTCTTGCTGGTAGTGCCCCGTCCTCAAAGGCTCAGGATGAATTGGAAAATTCGGCTGACGGTTTAGATGATTAGTTGCCAGGTGTATATCCCGTGCGATTCCCTTTTTGTGTAATTAAGTGTGTAAATAGAAAGCAAAATAATAATAAAAAAAACCTCATGGGAATTGATTTTATCTATTTTTACCTATCCTATATTATTGATCATTGGATGGGACTACATCTCCCACCCACAAAATTGTAGGCTAGACTTATGAGATTAGTTGGGTTTGTGACAAAATCTGGCAACCATAAAAACACAAATTTAAAAAAAACACGCACATAAAATATTTTTTAACTATTCAGTACTTTATGGATTCAACCTGGAGTGGGTTCACCCTGTATTTATTCTAGATTAAGTTCTGATTCTGGTCCAATCTGGATTGAATCTAGATTTAGGTTTTGTTTTGATTCAATTTGGATTTAGGCCTAGATTGGATTGAGTCTGGATTAAGGTCCTGATAATTCAGTCCGGATTTAGGTTTTAGATCCTTTCTGGATTGAGACTGGGTTCCGTTCCTATCTGGATTCAGATTTAGGCTCTATCTGGATTTAGATCCACTGTGGTAATTAACTGCTCTCAGATCCTTTACGAATTTAGTCTGGATTGAGTCCAGATTTAGTTCCTTTATGGATTCAGATTCTATCTGGACTAAGACTAGATTCAGATCCTGTTTGGATGGCGTCTGGATTCTGGAATGAATCCAGATTCAGGTCATTTAAGGATTCAATCCGGACTTGCTTGGGGTGCCACCTAAACTCAAGTACAGACAGAACAGCTCACAGATGCCGCGACAGACTAAGCAGTTTTGGTGCCAGATGCCACAGTGATTCGTTCAGCGTGGATGTGGCAGTCTGTCCGTGACTCCAATGATGTTCTTTTCCAGCTCTCCTCTCATTCAGTCTCTATGCATCTGCATCATTCAGCCAAAAGATCTCATTAAGGTGAATAATCACACTTGGGACGGCAAAAAATAATGACTAAACTCATATTAAGACAAAGCTCATATGATGAAGACGCATTCCAGTGCATCAGAGATATTATTCCCAACGCAAATGTCAGTATGAATACTTAATGATGACCCGAATAAATTAATAATACTTAGATGGTTTGCGAACAATATTACAATCTTGAAGACAATACTAAAATATGTATTTATACAAACAATATATCTCTACCTTACACAGTCCGAATTGATGTTTCCATGAGGCTATTACAAGATATGAAGCGGATTTCCGTGATAAATCTTGCTGTGCTGTTGCGTTTAAGAGAAATAACGGATGTTCAGATGACGACAAATAGACACTGCATCATATTTTGCGTGTCCATTCTTCTCAGATTTACACGCACAGGCAGTTGCAATACGCAAATATCGCTTTCCTCTCGGTTACTGGTTTAACGGCGTACCACTGACTGCTCCATCCGATTTAATCCTGAGCGCCCATCTCAGAGCAATAAAACACATTACAGCTGACCACAGTGATGTCGCGTGCATGAATAAACGCTGGGATGAGATTCATGCCGAGCGTATAGATCTCAATGAGACGCGCTCGCGGAGATGATGGAGAGGGCTCGAGCGAACAGCGCAGATTTCTTCTGGCACACCCGAATATTCCAATAGAGTCTGCGTCTGTCTGTCACTCTCCCGTCCGCATAGCAGATAGAGAGAAGAGAAGCTGGCGATGAATTCCCAAAAATTATGTCTACCATGTGTTTTGACTTTGACGCTGATGAGTATATAGATTCTAGATTTTAAACGTTAAAAAAAATAATTCAAGAGCGTTAGGATTTAAAACGCTAAGAACTACAATCCCCACACCGTTTCCGGAAGTGACGCACACTCTTGACGTCGACTAGTGAACCGCGCGGGGAAACTGATGTGAAGTTTATCCTGCAGCAAAGGATTTCTGTCTCGAAAACTGAAAAATAAAATCAGAAATTTCACATTAAAACATCTGCTCCAGTATTAGGTATTTGTTTTGCTTATTTGGACTATAGTTTCTTTCGGAAAGCGTCGTATTTTTACGCTTTGCTACTTTGGACACGTGTAAATATTATCACACAGGATGTGTTATTGTAGTTTTAGTTATTATTGATTTATATTTATATGCATCAGCTGATATATATGCATCGGCTGTGCGTCGAGTCTCTGTCAGTGTTTTCGCCGTTATGGCCGCGTTTAAGATCAACTTTAAAGACCCCTGCGGTCTGCGCCTTCTTTACGATAATGTTTCTTTTTCTTTTTCACGCAAACAGTCCTCTAAAATACTAAACACTACTGCATATGTTTAAGATACTAATACAGGTGTTTTATTATAACCAGAGGATGTCTGTGACGCTGCAGTGTCCTGGTTACCATGAGGACACACTGCGCTCTCTGGCTGACAGACTGCCCTGCAGGGAGACACAGGTGACGTCACTGCTGTCGCTCATGGGACAGGTGAGTGAGATACCTATACAAGAGGTCGATATAAGCTGCTCTTTTTGTAAAAGCACAAAGACTATTATGCATTTCTATTTGGCTTTGCCAATATTTCGAATTATTGTGGAAAGACTTGTTATTGAGAACATTGACATTGAAGATTTGTCTTTACTTTGGGAAAAATGTTTTGATTAAATTTTGTTAATTGGAAAAAAAAAAGGAATTTTAATAAAAAAAAACAAACATGCTGTATCTTCTTTTTGTTCAAATTTTATATACATATATATATATATTTTCAAATTGCAAGTCAGAAACCTCTTTTATAATGCATTATGCATTGCTTTGGTATGGTTTCTAACCCATGTAAAATAAAAGGCTTTAAAAACAATTGTAATATGCAAGTATGATCTACAGTATTGTGTTCTACTCTGATCTAAACCCTTAATATATATGAAGAGTTCAGATGCAAAAGCCTCTAAGTGGCATTTGAAATTTTCTTCTAGAATGATCATTTTTATCAGGCTTGTATATTTAAGTTCAGTGATTTCACTTAAATGGCAATGATAATTACCTATGAATTGTTATTTAGGCAAGGCAAGGCAAGTTTATTTATATAGCACATTTCATACACAGTGGCAATTCAAAGTGCTTTACATGGAAGAAATTAAAGAAGTCAGAATAATTAAAACAGTTTAGAATAAAAAAATCATAATAATAAAAATAAAATACAGTGTCGAAAATAAAATGTACAGTAACAGTCGGACAAACAGTGGCACAGTGCTCATTCAGTAAATGCAATCAATATAAATAAAAACAGTTAAGAGTAAAAATAAAATAAAATAAAGTAATACCCCTATCTGAGATAGAAGAGATTGAGCTGGTTTACGGTGCTACTGGGCCTCCAGCCCAGGTACTTCTTATATTCTCAGCAGTAACTTACTTCTTCACTCGCCTCATCGGAGTGAAGACTCTCCCGCTCTCCATCAAGATCTCTTCCAGTATACCCCTATCTGAGGTGGAAGAGATTGAGTTGGTTTACGGTGCAACTGGACCTCTAGCCCAGGGACGTAGAGCGTCGTACGTACTCTGCTTGGGTGGATCTACACCAGTAATGCCCAGCGGGGCCACTTTTCTCCCCTTAACCACATTTAAATGAAATTACTGAACTTAAATATACAAGTTTGATAAAAAATCATCATTAAAGAAGAAAATTTCAAATGGCATTTAGAGGCTTTTGCATCTGAACTCTTCATATATACACCTTTTTTCTCTATTGTTTATTTCTTCTGTTTTGTGACTGCTTTGTTTATACAATGTTCTCAATAAAAAAAGTGAAATACCTATATTATATTATAAAATAATATTTATATTATTATTGTGTTTAAAACGGTTATATATTTTGGCTGGCTATATTATTTTTGGATATTTCCTGCTCAAGAAACATTATTGTCAATGTTGAAAACAGTTATTTGATGAATAGAAAGTTTAAAAGAACAGCATATATCTGAAATTGAAAGCTTTTGTAAAATTATACCCTCTCATTCAAAACTTTGGGGTCAGTAAGAATTTAGCCTTTTGGAGGAAAGCAATTGAATAAATTAATTTTATTCAGCAAAGATTAATTAAATTGATCATAAGTGACAGTAAAGACATTTATAATTTTACAAAATATTTTTATTTAATTTAAATGCTGTTCTTTTGAACTTTTCATTCCTCAAAGAAGCCTGAAAAGAATAGCACTGTTTTTAAAATGTATAAAAATAAGATTGAGCTGCAAATCAGCACATTAGAATGATTTCTGAAGGATCATGTGACACTGAAGACGGAAGCAATGATGCGGAAAATTCAGCTTTGACATCACAGGAATAAATGACATGTTATTTTAAATTGTAAAAATATTTCACAATATTAGTGGTTTTGCCATATTTTGGATCATTTTACTTTAGTGTACCATACAGAGTTAATGTGTCTGTCTCTTAACAGCCGGATCAATACAGTTATCCTTCAATCTTCATCTATGGCCACAGAGCAACAGGAAAGAGTCATGTGGTGCTCACCATCATGAAAGATCTGGAGGTAAGACACTGAAAATGGATTATTTGGAAAGGTCTATTCAGATTTTTAAAGTTGTGTAGTGTATTGCAGCCTTTGGAAGTGATGCAGTAGTGATTGAAAATCTGAGTTTGTGTTAACTGAAGGTTCCAGCTTGAATTCAGGTTAAGAATTATTCCTATATTAATTGTATTGCAAGGTAAGTAAAAGTGTTTACTAAATGAGAAATAAGTGAAAGACATTGAGTGTGTGTGTTTTTTGTTCAGCTCCCCCATGCTTCAGTGGACTGTGTAGAGTGTGTGTCCGGAGGACTGCTGTTTCACCAGGTGTTGTCTGCCTTTTTCGGGCCAGATGCTGCAGCATTGCTCCCTCGGAGCCCGTCTTTGTCAGATTTTGTGCGACTGTACAAACAGATGAGCTCCAGCACACCTGCTACACAGACACGCTACATAGTGAGTTTCCATTTGTCATCATGGATATTGCTTTTGTTTATGTTTGCACATGTCTGTTTAGAGTTAACATTTGAATGAAATGCTCTATAAACAATGTTTTTAGGTTTGTGAAGTTATTATTTAAGATGTGTAGCCATGACATGATGCTTCAAGGTTACATAATATCCCTGTAGATTCTGGACCGAGCCGAACGCATAAAAGATATGGATTTCAGCCTGCTTCCTGCTCTTCTGCGCCTACAGGAGCTGGTATGCACTCAATTTGTAATATTGTTTAATACAGTAGTAAGAATAGAGTTACAAGCTCTGCCTTTTATATAGAGGGTTACAGTATGTGTTAAAAGAGGTTGAGTTGTGTTTTGCGTTTATATATTACAGGTGTAATTCTTCCTCTGACTTCTTTGTGCAATAGCGAATATCTAAACTTCTGGCTGTTCATCCCTTTTTCTCTTTGTGGCAGGTAAATGATAATGTGACTGTTATCTTGCTCAGCGAAATTGTGTGGGAAAAGTTTCGGCCCAACACTGGCTGCTTTGAACCTTTGCTCTTTCATTTTCCAGACTACAGTAAAGGTAAGAGGGAAAAGGAAACAGTTGACAGATGATTATGTAATAACAAGCTCTCTTTATTATATGATGACTGCACAAGGATACCAGCGTGTTGCAAATATGAATGAAGATCAGATTTGTCAATGGCCCCAATGATTATTTCGCTTCAAACGTCACAATTGTGATGAGATTAAAATTGCAAGTGCATGTGTTTGGCATTTTTAGGTTTTAATCACACAGTCACAAAATCAGAGGCTTTCGCCTGAGACGATGTGCAAACAATAGGGATGAAGCGAAATAAAAATTCTTGATATTATTACAGTATCAAGTTCAACTGAGGCTTGCTTGCGTATTAGGGTTCATAGACATTTAAGCACAACAGTGTCTGCAAATGGGCATTTTTACGTCATTCTCGGACACTTTGAAATGCTTCCACGCTGTGACATGTTTACTGCATTTATAAAGCGTGTGCGCCTCTCACACACGATGGTTGCTATTTGATCGCGTCAAAAACGTCATTGGGTCAAATTTATTACTGACGAACACCGAAAGTGCTTTTTTTGCTATTCTCGGCCGAATAATTTTGGTGCATCCCTAGCAAACAGGGTTGATGACATGCTTCATATTTGGATGGATGGATGGAACGTTTCTAAAAACCTGTTTTTCTGGTCCCTCAGCGGAGCTTGTGCAGATTCTGTCTCGGGATCATCACCCATCCTACACCCCTGAACTCTACGCTTCCTACATAAACATCCTGCTGGGGGTCTTCTTCTCAGTTTGCAGGGATCTAAGGGAGCTCAGGCACCTGGTGAGATCATACGTGTCTGTAAATGGGCTGAGTCTATAAAAGGAGCAGTAGCAGTTATTTTGTAGCAGTTTTTTATGATGTAGCAGGTGCTCATAAACCAGTAAAACCAGATGTTTTTGCATCTTTCACACACTTCACAAAGAGAGAATAAACCAAGTAGTGCTAAATTGCTTAATATACTTAATATAATTTGTATTCAAACAGGCTGTCCTGAATTTTTCGAAGTTTTGTGAACCCCTGGAGAAAGGAGAAGGTAAAATATTTAAATTCAGCTGAAATATATATATATATTTTTTTCCATGTAAACACATATTTTTCCTTCACTATTGAACAAAA